GTATATATATATGTATGTATTATTTACTATATATAATAAAATAACAGATACACACACACATATATATATATATATATATATATATATATGCATGTATGTATGCATGTATATATGTATGTATGTATGTATGTATGTATATATATATATATATATATATATAACTATTCATATGACCATTTATAAAATTATACATATACGCACGATTACAAAACATAGCAACCCTTCAAATATAAACCAGTTTACTATCATACCCACGCCTATGAAATCTTGTAAACACCATAGCAGTGCACTTACCCAGCCCATCGGCTCCGCCTATAACGCCCAAGTGTATAGCGCAGCTCAGTACAGCAAATCCTCCAAGCCAGACAGCCTCATACCAAATCAAGAAGGCTATCCCATACTGTTTAACAAATCCTACCATCTTGCTTTTACCCATTCTTTCCTTGATCTTATCTAATAAGCCTGTGCCCTCTGTTGCTATCGGTGTTGTTGCTGGATTTGATTTATCCTGCGTCTTTTCATGTGGAGCATTTGATACATATGACGCACTCTGGGTACTCTTTAGGTCCACGTGTTCGTGCTTAGTCTTATTCCGAGCACCTCTCGCGGTGTTCGCCTTATACAAGGCGTTATTAGTACTAAACGTTCGAGTATAAGATGACAGCACACCCGCGGAACCAAGTACAGTCGGGTAGGTCAGTGTATTCCCATACTTGAGAACTGATACACTCCTAATACTCTTCGTATGACCTATCAAACCACTTAGGCTGCATGTTATAGGCTTTGTGCTGATTGTGTGGATTTTTTGCTTAGCAATGGCCTTGGGTATAGGCGTGCAGAATTGACTGCATTGCGCACTCACGCGTTGAAAGTTTACGAATTTGTGCATGTTGCCTCTGTTTGTTGATCAAAGAATCGTCCTTGCTTTCAGAAAGGTCGGCTACTACTTCTCTACTAGACAAAACCAGACCTTGATGACTGTGTAACTTGTGGGTATTGAGCTGTATATGTGTATGTATAGATATGGATACTATTTAGTTTACGGGTATTGCTCTATATGTGTATGTATATGTTATTAACATTATTTTTGAGAGGAGTTTGTGGGGTGCTCTTAAATAATCAATACGTTTTGCGTTAAAATGCTACGTAAATAACGTTGCATCGGCCCTATTATGTGGTGTTCTCTACGAGCCCTTAGGTTCTAAGTTTTCATAAAGTTCATTGCAGATGTCCGTTTGATTTGCAAAACAGGCGCTATTTCCCGATCTTTTGACCCGTATAAACGTCTCAGAATATATAAGCCTTTACGTTCAATTTTTGAATTGGATTTATACACATTCTCCCGCTCAGCAATATTTATGTGTCACCAATTATATTTGGGTACAAATAACAGTTTGACATCTCTGTAGTTAAGTATAAAATACGCAATATTGCGTTGCAAACTCTCCATTTTTATGTTGCATATATAAATTTGTGGTCAAGATTCAATCAAACGGTTCCTTTTGCGATATTTTAAGTCATTTCAAATGTTATTTGCGACGTTGCACGTGAGGTTTGAAATTATGATGATGATGAACGTGAAACTACAGCAGCTGAGCAGCATATGATATTTATTTGAGAAACCATTTTTTTTTAAATTTCTCTGAGACTGTGACTTGGTCTGTTGGCCGTGGGGTAGTATGTAATTACATATGTTACTCTTTTTGAAAAATCCGAATGTTATATACCACTACGTGTGGTAGTGGAATGTAGTAAAGCCAGACATATATACACATACATATATATACATAAATCTACCCTTGTAAACAGTGTAATGTATATGCATATATAGAGGTGTATACACATACATATATATACATAAATCTACCCTTGTAAACAGTGTAATGTATATGCATATATAGAGGTGTATACACATACATATATATACATTAATCTACCCTTGTAAACAGTGTAATGTATATGCATATATAGAGGTGTATACACATACATATATATACATTAATCTACCTTTGTAAACAGTGTAATGTATATGCATATATAGAGGTATATTTTGAGGACATACAGAGGGAGAAGTCTGAAGTAGTAGAAGAAAATAAGGGTTGATATCTGTTGGTGTTTGTGTATATCAAACGCTTGTTCTAGCATACAGGTAGAAGCACTATCAAGTTTTTACATATATTTATCAGGCCAATATGTCCATAATGGTACGCCCTTCCGCCGGGGTTAGTCCTGTGGCACTTACACAGACAATCAATGGTTCATACTTGAGAAAGATTTTATATAACACAACACGCAATGGTACTCGGCGTACTTTGGCATCTAGACGGAGTGACATTTCACGTACCAACACGTTGTACACTCCACACACCCCATCGAGTGTGTCCAAGTTACTGAATAAGCATATAAATGCGCATACCAGCACACGTTACTCTGATGCAGGCGGGAAGTATAATTACGGGACAATACCGGTACGCCTGTGCCACACGGCACGTATGGCTGAGGACAGTTCGGGTGACGAGGCCACGTACTCAGAACGCGACGCCAGCACAGACAAAGAAAAAGCTAGAGTACGCTTTGTTAACTATAAGCTACCACCTGGGAACAATGTAGTCAGATCGAAATCGCCTGTGCGTGAGGGTTTGGGGGTCAAAGTGGAGGAGAAAGCGGGTAAATCAGGGGGTGTGGTGCCCGAGGAGGAGAGTGCGAACGGGAAGATAGACGAATCAGGTGGCCTAAGCTCGGAAAGTGGCACAGTTATTCCTGCTGCGGAGTTTACTGGTGAACATATACTCAATGAATGTACTATAAGACGCGGGCCAGCCAAGAATACTATGGAAGTGAACTTTCAAGATGATGACAACGCAGGAGAAGTTGTCGATACTCAGATAGACGTTGAGGCCTTTTTAGGTGAGTATGTGATGGTGTAGGTAGACACGATGGCAAAACGGAGGCCTGTATATATATATTTGGGTGTGTGTGTGTGTGTGTAAGTAAGTATGTTATGTATATACCTGTAAATGTTTATATATTTAATATATGTGTACGTGTACGTGTACATGGAGTGTGTTTATCCTCTGGATCTTTACCATCACCAACACCTCGGGATATATACGCTGCCCTGAACAGTGTGATTCCAGGCGTACATGCGTGTATGTGTGTGTATGGGTATTCTCGGGTGCTATGCTGGTCATATCACTTTAGCTCCGTTCGACTGACAAGATCAATGGTCCTATACACACGTTTGCTAAGGTGGTCATTCGTAAGTACATTCGTGTGTGTGACATGTATGTTCGTGTTGGTGTTTGTGCTTTTTTATTTGTGTGTACTTATGCGCCTGTTTGGGTGCATGCCAAAGTTTGTGGAACAATTTTTTTTGTACCTCGACATATCTGTTTGTCTGATGCTTTGTTTGCAAAAATGCCCTCGCAGAGGCTATTCAAATGTTTGTGTTTGAATTTGAAAATGTATGCTTGGTGTATATATATTATGCCTTTTGTGTGTTCAATATATATAATTAATACATATGTATACATGTGTGTGTGTGTGTTTTGAACAGTCAAATATTTACATCCGAGCATCGTTTCCATTTATAAATAAACACTTTTGATTTACTATCAACTGTGGCTGCCTGAGGTCATAACAGATCAGTTTATGTCTTATATGTGTACACGCCTCCTCATTCGCTCGCACGATTCATATACGTAACGTCACTGAGTGTATGTGGGTACATACAGTTGCTCTGTGTGTGTGTGTGTGCTAATGTAGTATGGCGAGTATCCTAGCTTCTATGTATATTTGAGTGTCTACGTATGCACATAGCGTGTTTGTGTGTTGTGTGTATCATGCACCTGAGTCGTTTGATGAGTAAATGTGTGTATTTATCTTGTTTGTTGCCTTGCCACTATCTGTGCGCTTGTGTTTATTGCGAGTATGCTGCCTGCGTTTAGTTAAAACCTGATACTCACAGACGCACACTTGTAGACGAGACGCTATCGACTGTGCCAAGTTGTATGGGTTCTATTTGTACTGGCATAGCTATATAGCTCGTTTCTTTCATGTACCTACATGTACATTGCCATCCATACCTGATGTGCTGAAGTTATATGGGTTATATTTATACTTATTTTTCTACCGGTATGGCTATATAACCCCGTGTACACCACCATCCATACCTAAGCGCCTTTGTATGCTTGCAGTGCTTAAGATGTTCTTGTTTATTTATATAAGTATGTATATTTATGCATATGTGTGTGTATGTATATATCTATATATAGGTAAAGCATTTACTGTGCTCAGTTGTAGGAATTTTAAAGCCTATACACGATGCAGTACGCAAACCCAATATATCGTCCCGGGGTTGCAGCCCCTGAATATGCCTGCGGAATCCATACAGTATATATGCATGCCTTTAAATATGTATAGCGCTGCCACAAAGCGATATTTCTATTGAACAGTCTCTTATTTTAGCTCTACTTCTCACATGTGATCAATCTCACAACTGATTGGCAAGGCCTGAAAGTTCATACGCGAGTTATACATACTATAATCTATATATATATATTATCGATGTATTCTGATACTAATATCTTATACCCTGCACGCTGGCCCAGATGTCAGCACTGGCTGGAAACCGCCCATACTGACTGAGGAACAGCTCGAAGTCAAAGAAGCTGCGACGCGCGAGTTCCAACAAAACAAGTACAACTCAGATGCCACACCCTTCTGGCCATCCATTGTACGTCGCAATGAAGAGGTGCGGAGGAAGATACAGGAGCGATCCCCGGAAGCGTTCATTGATCTGATGACCAGCAAGGATCTGTACCGCACGACTAAGCGCCGCGGAAATGGGTTCCATGAATACGATGACTATAACCTGTTGGTGGCTCTGCAGGAGGTCAGTCTGTGTGTGCGTGTGTCTGAGTGAGTGAGAGGATATATGTTTGTATATATATATATATATATATCGCTGGCGAACATGCTGGAGGTAAATGGGGGTGTGAGTGAGTGCGAGATAGCGGATGTATGTGTGTGTGCGTGTTAGAGTTCGAATGCGTCTGTATTAGTATGTTCCTAAGTAGAACACTCGAGAGGTTGCATCTGTTGACTGGTTTGCATTCGTATGGGATTGGACATGCGGCAGGGGTAGAGCGGGGGGGTATGAGAGGTTCTGTCTGTGTTCGGAGGTCGAAGATGATATGTATCTACATGTTTTTTATAACCCACAACTTGTCTGGGGGCTTGCTAATCTTAATACTCTAGTATCTAGGATATACAAAAACGTTTTTTCGTGATCAATCGCTCATCGTATGTGTCGTTTGGTTTGTTTGGTTGCGCAACAGTACGAGTATGAAGATGATGTCAATTGGAAGGCCGTCACTAAATATGTTGCCGCCCTGTCCACACACGGTATAATCACGAGGTAAGTTTAAAAGGGCTTTATATTCATATATGTGTAGTATGTATGTATATGTATATATATATATATTCTGTGTATGTGCGAGCGTCCATGTGTAGCCCAGACCAAACCTAGGCACATCTCATGGCACACCAGGAAAGTGTATGTGGAAACTCTGAATCAGCACTTGTGTCCGAGGTAGCGCTGAGAGGTATGTACATGTTCACCAGTATAAAACGAGTACAGAGACACAAATATGTAAGCGATTGGTGGGAGACGGTGTATTTACGGTTGGGAGTGTAGGTTCGGATTGGAATCGAAGGTGTCGGGCTATGATGGCTAGCTTGGCTGTGCCCGGTGAGATATCAGTCGGATATGTGCATGGTTGATGTATTGTACTGACATAAAATCTGCACGTTCGATACGTTTTGTAGTTTGGGAGTTGACGTGCATGGGCCGAGCATTCATTTATATTAATTGCATGGATTTAGTATGGAGGCGATGGGTTTTGTATGCATTTGGTTTACCTACATTCATGCAGAATAATAAAAGGAAATCGGTATATTGGTGATATTGTTGTATAGTCCGATATGCATATATACATGCGTGTATACTCAAAACGTTGGTACTAGGACTATGATTTCATATATGCTGACGTACACGCCTGCTTTCTTACCTACCTACCTACTCACTCACTTGCATGCATGCATGTTTTATCTCAGGAAACTGGTCCACAGGCGTTGGTACTAGGACTATGATTTCATATATGCTGACGTACACGCCTGCTTTCTTACCTACCTACCTACTCACTCACTTGCATGCATGCATGTTTTATCTCAGGAAACTGGTCCACAGGCGATGGTACTTGACACTGGACCCTGACCTGAAGCACGGCGGCTGGGACGACCATGACGATGAACGACTCAAACAAGCGGTTGAGCAAGTCACGAGCGAACTAGGCACCGTCAACTGGTCTGCAGTACAGATGGTCATGAAGGATCGATCACTCAAGCAGGTGTGTGATGTGGGCTTGAAGGAGATGTGTGCGAATGCGTGTGTGTGTGTAATTTTATCTGTAAACCTCTGTATGTCACGAGCGAACTAGGTACCGTCAACTGATCCGCAGTACAGATGGTCATGAAGGATCGATCACTCAAGCATGTGTGTGCATGTGTATGTGTGTGTATGTGTGTGTATTTTTATATGTATATCTTTGTTCGAACGCCCGTACCATGAGTGTGTGCCCATACTAATCAGTGTACACTGAGTGTCTACGTGCATGTGTCAATGCGTGCCCAGAATATATATGTACGTGATATGTATGGTTGCCTAGATGGTGTGTCCCGAGTAAAACGCGTGCAAGTGCATCAGTAGTATGGTGATGCGAGAGACTTTTGTCTGGTCATTGGCAGGTAGTTACGGTGATCAGAACAAGGTAAAGAAAATAGTCTTACCTTCTTGTGTTATAGATACATTAGAACACTTGGTAGTGTTGACGGTCTTAGGGGGTACGCATATCGATAAGGTGTGCATGGTTGTTTTGTGTGACAGTCAGTCACGTGTACTTGACAATGCTTTTAAAGCGTCCACAGCCATATACGTATGTGCGCATGCTGCAATCGAGTAGCAAGCATGCGAGATGGAGTATGTACATCTCCTTCTAGAATGCCTATATCAATCAGTATGTTATGCCTCCTTCATACACTTAAGACTTTTTTTCTTTACTTTTCTTTTGTGCTTTACGATTATATAGTGTCGGGAGCGATGGACCGGATCACTCAACCCCGACATCCTAAGAGGTGGATTCACGAAAGAAGAAGACATGCTCCTGGCTGATCTTGTTAAACAAGAGGAGATGCGCCCGGAACATCTTAAACAAGGTATTCGAATCGATACAATATATATACATATATTTATTGTTTATTTATATGTATGTGTGTGTGTACAAGTGTACGTATGTATGTGTAGTATATGTACAGTTAAATTTAAATATCTATATTTTGTGGTTTACTTGTTGTTGTTTTTTGTCATAGTTGAATTGGGATGCTGGAGAGAGAGACTGTCTTCCCTCCTCGGCAAACCCGATATACGTATGTATCTACGTATGTATGTGTATTTGTATATATATGGATGTGTGTGTGAGTGTGTTATAATAAGAAATACTCACTTTCTTATTTCTATTCTAGGCAAACGGTTTTGGACTGAAACTGGCAAGCGACTTGTGGGCAGAACTTACCTACAATGCAAAAACCGATGGGTCAGATCACTCGACCCCACTCTCAATATGGGTATGTATAATGTATGGATTCACTTTCGTATTGTGCATAGCTCACGTCTGAAGGAGAAGCCAGGGCAGTTCACATTCATCCGCCCGCGTCAATTCTAGAGTTCTATACGTTGGTGCTATTGGCGGAATCTTTATTTCAACCTTTTTTGGGGGGTTTTGATTGCGCTGCGATTATATCCTTAGATACAATTGTGGGAGCCCTCTCCATTCTCGAAAAAAAAATGTGCTGTTGAATTTTATATCTAGTCCCGATTATGTTTCAAATCTGTCCTCTTTTCTCAACCTGTCCCCTTTTCATAGGTCCTTGGACCGAAGAGGAAACCAATAAGTTACGAGACTTACACAGTAAGCACGATGGTTCTTGGGTACTCATTGCCGAAGAGTTGGAAGGGCGGAGTCCGAGGGGGTGTGAAGCCCAGTGGGTGGTAAGTACTGCAGAGATGATCACAACTGTACAGATCTGTGCGTTGTAAGTGTGTGTGTGTGTAGATATATGTCTGCACGGGTGGGCGTGTCCATTTACGTATCTATATGCATAAAAATATAGATATATGTCTGCACGGGTGGACGTGTCTGTTTCGTATTTATATGCTTTTTCATGTATTTATACATGTGTGTGCGTGTGTGTGTGAATACATGTCTTCACAATACCAAACGACTATGTTTACGAGACCTTTAAACTGTTCTGAATATGTTTATTGTCAGGTAAACTGATGCGCTCTATATAGCAGAAGGTTGTTGTTGTTATATTGTAGTCCCTTTTTTTTTGTATTTCTTCTATCTCTTCTTCTTCTTATTTCTTTGGCTCCTACAGACCCGGGCAGGTCCCGAGGTTACCGCAGGCTTGAAGATGTGGTCTGAGGAGGATATCATGAAACTTGCCTTGAGCGTGGCGAAGCACAAGGCAATCCTTCGGCACACCTGGGGGAGCGTTGCGAAAACTGCCGGACTCATGCGGTACGCTTTCGATATGGTTTTGTTCTGTGCTTCGGTGTGCGCATATATGTGTGTGTGTGTGTGGTGTGTTTTAACCATCAATTCAGTGTGAGTCTGTGCCCTTTCGCTTTACCTACGCACCAGCCCTGATCCCCTGGCGTCTCCCTGCACCCCCCATGCACAGAGCCCACCACGTGTGTCGCGGCATGTGGGTGGCCGTTAGCAACAGCCTCACGCTGGACCACAACTACGACTCCAGTATTCTGGACATAAACGTCAAGATCGACGCCTCCGAGTTACCCAAGGTCAGCGAGATGTACCAAGAGGCGGTGAAGAAGTACCTGTTGTCGCTGAAACTGCGGAAGGGCGTGGACAAAGTCACCCAACTGGTTGAAGATGAGGACAGGAAGCAGACCCAGGAAGTTAAGCAGGCGGAAAGGGTATGTGGGAGTGGGTGGGTACTGTGCTATGGGTGTGTGGTGTCTGTAGTTGGATTAGTTCTGTTCGTATTATGTGTGGTGTGTGTGATTAGAGTATGTGGAAATGGCGGATAGATCGGTTGAGCGGTGGTGTGTTGGTAGCACGTGTTGTTCTGTCGGGCTATAGCGAGCTTGCGTGCATGTAGTAGGGCTATGCATCGTCTCTGCCTGTTTATGGTTCATTCGCTGGTTTAAATTCACATCTATATTCATGTATTTATATATATATATACAAGTAGTCAATCGGATCGGATGCTCGTACAGTACAGCATTCACTCGTGTAGCTGGCTGGTGGAGTGCTGAATGCGTTTTGGTACACTGAGACATCCTATCGCATTCCTATCCGTATCAGATTTCAACCCTTTCCCAAATCCCCACGTAGTTTCGTTGAAAGCCAACGTACGGCCCGTGAATACTATCTATTCTATTCTACATCTAGTTTTTATTTTATATGTGTATATATATTTATTAACTCGTGACCAATCAAATACCGCCACAGAAACAACTCCAGGCCGTGGTCAATGCGGTCTCTAGCTTGCAGCGTGAGGTGCGTAACATCTCAGCCCGCAATGCCGAACAGACTGCGCTGTCGGAAGGTGCGGTGGCGGCTATCATCAGACTCAAGAAGGCCCACCACGAAGCGTCCGTGCGCAAGGCAACCGGCCCCAAAAAGAGTCGAACAGGTGCGTTGTGGGCTGAGGGATGGGGTTGTTGGGTATTGTATTTTTGTACATGGATGCATGTTGTACGGGATTTATATGCGAGATTACAAATAGCAACTGAAGTGGGAGGAAGCGTGCGCGTACTATGGAGTATCAGCCGTTGCCTGATAACTTGCAGAAGAAATATAGTTGCGCTTGGTATGTATATATGTGTATGTATGTCTATATATATATATATATATATATGTATTCGCCCTGTTAAGGGTAACTCATATCTCTCGGCATTGCCTGGACAGTCCCCAGTACAAATGCACCTGTTTCTGATGCATATGACCGTGTCCATATCCCACCTACCTCTACCACTAGCCTTATCGACCCGTGGCATATGGTTACCATGGTTACTAAACTTTCATTCTCCTCACATCCCTCTGGCAGGTGCTTTTTCAACCAAGGCTTCCGCGGCCCAGACCAAGAAGCTCAAGTTGGAGAGGGAGCGTAACGAATACCAACTCCGCAGCTTGACGGAGAAGTACAATGTCGCTGAGGCGGATACGGATCACGATCAGATGTTCTACTACTCGTATGCGCGAGCGATGGTACACGAGAAACTGAGAGACTTGGACGCAGCACTGGTGGACTACAAGACAGCCTCAGCGCTACGGAATGAAGATGCGCGACGTAAGTTTTATGGCTGTGTAGGCGAGTGGTTGTATATACGGTGTGTGTGCTGGTATGTATGCACATGTATGTACATGTATGAGATGGTATGTATGCACATGTATGTGATGGTATGTATGTACATGTATGTGATGGTATGTATGTACATGTATGTGATGGTATGTATGTACATGTATTTGATAGTATGTATGTACATGTATTTGATAGTATGTGTGTACATGTATATGATGGTATGTATGTACATGTATTTGATAGTATGTGTGGACATGTATGTGATGGTATGTGCCTAGTACAAGACATACATGCATGCATGTATACTTGAAAGTTGGAAGATGCGTATGTAGTCACCCCTTGGACAGCGTGATTGAGTATAGCAAGCTTGTACGAGAACAATCACAGCTATTGTTATGTTACGTTTACGTCTGATTTCCCGCTGCTTTTCATTCCTTAAATACTAATATGTTACGTTTACTTCTCATTTTATGCTACGTTTTATTCCCCCGCTTTTCAATTCGTAACCACTATTACGTCACGTTTACTTCTCATCTTATGATACGTTTCCTTTGCATTTCCCACTGCTTTTCATTACGTAAAATTCCGGTCATGTTACGTTTACTTCGCCCTCCCTCCCTGCCCCTCTCCCGCTTTTCAATTCGGACACTCTCAAACGCTACGTTTACGTTTTCATTGTCTTTAACAGCGTTTTTGAGTATGGCGCTGATCTACATGGAGATGTACAAGCAGGATGAGGCGTTCGAGTGTATCAACGAGGGTTTCAGCCGCGACCCCGATCGAGAAACCGAAGAGTCTCTCAAGACGGTATGTCACGAGCGGTAGACCGACGCTTGTATCTATACCTACCTATCGTACACACATGCACTGTTATGATAGTTTTGTATTGTGCGACAAAAGTCTTGTTTATAATTGAAAATGCACACACATTCGACATGCATATACGTATGTGTGTATTGTGTATTGTGTATTTTTTTAGCCGTTTGTCCCGACTTGCGTTCGGTTTACAAATCTCAACTCAATGGCATATCAACCTGATATGCGCACACATCAACATTTATATGAGAGTGTGTATGTATGTATACGAGTGTGTGTGTATCGTGTAGACGTTTCCATCGATTTGTGTGCTGCGTGGACAAAGTACATCTCTATGTGCGTACACTCCGTGTACACAGTTCGATAGACAAAGTTGTGCACTGCTGTTCTTTTAATAATGCCCTTTTTGGTCCCTATTTGAATATCTGTGGTTTGTTACCTTATGTATATAGCTATAGCTATATAGCTTTGTCTATGTTGCAACGCAAATGTATATATCCTTTGGTGTACTGCGTGATAGTTGTATTCTCTACGTATCATGGGCTCTGTCAGCGTACGTATTATTGATTTACGTATACGGTTTCTATTCCCGTACAGGTGATTATGAATTGGATTGAAGAGGGTGCTTTGGCGGAAGAGGATCCTTGAAATTGCCTGTGGGAGATCGGAGTCTGAAGAGTGTAGAGCAGGTGTAGCCGATGCCATTGCAGCACAACAATCAGACAACACCCAGGCCATGCTACGACAATCCAACAACGTCTTAAAGTCATAACATCCAGGACAAAGGACATCAGGGTAGTGGGCCGCACCATTGTAGATTTACTGACAGATGACATGTGGTGGGGTGGGACACACTGAGACATACACATCACGGCTGATGTGTGCGGCCTGACGTCCGGGCAGGGCATGCTGCTATGGCAACTGTTACAGACCGATACCACCTCAGGGGTCCATAGCAACGGAGCGGAAGATCAAACACGCATACAGAAACACGGAGGTCTCTAGTCGGTAGTCCAGGCTTCGGGCGCACGGTTTTTGTGGTTTCACATACACCTGTCCATTACGACTACCTACTTCTACCTACCCACCGAACGCCGATGACTGTACACGACTCGGGCGAAAATGGTGTTTACAGAGTAGGTGACGGAATAAGCCTTGCTGTGACGGAATAAGCATTGTGGCGACGCAATAGGTATACCTGACCACTCGTGACGACATACTTCAGGTGAAGAGTTTAAACCCCTGAGGTGCGTACGGCGGGTGTAGCACTTTTGCGTCGTATAGGCAGAGCAATAGGCCGCGCAGTGTCAACGGGATGTAGTGTCAAGACGTGTCATAGGTAGGTGTCCTTGTGACAGCTTTCGTATATACGAGTGGATGGTTGTACTCCCCGTATCACTATGGCAACGCGGGGAGATGGGTAGTGGTACAGTCGGAGCATCTGCAGCATTGCACTGACATAAGTCTGAGTTATCGTCAGTCTGTTACTACGTAGTGGGTTGAGAGGTGACCGGGTGTGTGGTGTAAATGATCTATAAATAGTGTGTGTACGGTTGTATAGCACCTGCTGTTTGACAGGGCGTACGTATCCCGTGGACCACGTCCGTCTGTTGTACATAGGGCTTGTAAGTATCGGATACAGTAGTGGGGTGAGTTCGGTGGGGAATCAGGTCCCTATTCCTTCCTGATGGCCAAAGTGTCAAGTGTCCTCATCTACACACAAACGGTTCACGATGCGAAAATGGTGTTAGTTCGTCAGGTGTATGAGAACTAAAGCCCCTCCATAACCGCAACGCTCTCGTCAGCGGTAGGTACCCAGTCGTGTCTCTCCCGCTGTCTGAGCATACACGAGCAAGGCGGAGCATGTGACTGGTCGTTGTGTGAGGCTCTGATCCGACTTATGGGGCATGGATGTAACACAGAAATGGCCCATTGCGCCAGAAAATAAATAAAATAATAGTGGGCAAAAATGAATTGTCTCGGGTGCATTAATACGTATGTACGTACGCCAATTGGTATCATATTGCGCAGGCCCCATGTACGCTTGCCCCGTGTCCCAAAATTACACCGGTAAGAATCGATCAGTGCTGATCTCTGGATACCTCTATAACATTGTTAACTAGTGACTGCTACATGAGACTGTTCAGCTTCATCACTTTGTTTTATTCCAACACGCTCAAATGTTATGGCGGCGAAGGGAAGTCGTTTCTGTTCTGCTACCACCATTCCCTGGTCTTCTATGAATGTATAATGCAACCCTTTTTTTTGCTGATGCCATTCACTGTTGTGTATATGCGTATGTATGTATATATATATATATTTCTTATTTTTATATTTATATA